GGTGTTGGGGGCGAGGGGCATGGGAGCCCCATCACTGGGTAAGCCCGGCATGGGAGCATCTTGTGGGACAATGCTTGGCTTCGCGGCTGGTGTCACAGGCAGGGCTTTGGCTTTTCTGGCCACCAAGGATCAGGGCTGCTGGGCAGCAATGGGATCCACCCGAGCAAGCAGAGCCAGAGCATCTTATCAACAGGCTGGCCGTCCTGGTAAGAAGGGCTTTCAACTAGGAGTGTCAGGGAAGGGTTACTACAACCTGAAGAGCAGGAGAGGTGTGGGGAGGTGGTGAGGAGCTGCTGGGGGTGCAGTACATTGGAGGAGGCTCTTGCACCACTCTGCTGAACACAAAGTAACGGGCAGCCCGTCTCGAGTGCTTGCACACCAGCACATACGGCTGAGGAGACACCAGGAGGAGCTGGGCACACAATGATTGCAATTGCTGCCATGGTTGGAGGCCCTTCAGGGCCAAGGTGAGGAGGAGGAGCAGCACTCTCTGCAGAGGTGTAGCTGCAATACACACCGCCTTGCCGTGGTGAGCCAGGAAAGAGCTTCTGGGCTAGGATCAGGGAGCACTTAAGCCAGTTGGGCACGCACGAGTCCACAGAACCAGGCAGGAGACACCCGAGGGTGCTGAGAGGGCTGGCCAACATCTCTCTGAAAAGTCCTGGTGACTGCAGGAGGTCCCTGATAACTGGGAAGAGGCAAACGTCACATCCATCTTCCAGAAGGGCGGAAAGGAAGCTCCAGGGCACTATGGGCTGGTGATCCCTGGTTGCTTCCTGCAATGAAAGGACTCGCTCTGTGGGTATGGGGAGAACAGTGAAAGTCACATATCTCGACTTTAGTAAAGCCTTTGACAGGGGTTCCCGTAGTCTCCTCGTCACCAGATTGGTGAGATCCGGACTGGAGAAGTGGATGATGAGGTGGGTGGAACACCAGCTCACCACCAGGCTCGTGGCATGGTGGTCAGCAGCGCAGAGTCCAGATGGTGGCCAGCTGCTGGGTCCCACCCTGTTACTGGGATGATGGGAGCGAGGGCCCTCTCAGCGAGTCTGCAGGCAGCACTGGAGTGTGGAGTGCGTTTGAAGTGCTGGAGACAAGGCTGCTGCTCGGCGTGACCTGGACAGACTGGAGGGACGGGCTGGCAGGAACCTCGTGAAGTCCAGCCAAGTTCAAACAAGCACAGCCCGGCAGGGGGGATGCAGTTATATCCCCTTTTGCCACCACTGAGCCCCACTGAGAGGGGACCCCAGGCAGGTTCAGGGGGGTCTGTGCACCAACGCCCAGCCTGGTTCATTGCAAGTAATACCTCCTTGATGTGGTTTTTCCCTTCTCTGGAGAGGGCCCGGGCATGGTGCAGGGGTTAGCACTGCCTAGGGACCCTTCCCAAAATGTGGGATGGAGGATGCCACCTAGTCTGTGCAGGAGAGCTGAGCTGCACAGGCTGGGGTTTGGGGGTCAGAAGAGCCCCGGTCTTTCCATTAATGCAAGCGTAACCTGGAGAGTCCCTGAGCAGTTGGAGCTTTGGATTTTTCCCACCTGAATTTTTCCCACCTGAATTCACCGTGGATGGTCTGGTTTTGCGCTCTGTGCTTTCCCCATCCCTGCTGACTGCCTGCTGCGGCTGGTGCGGCTGCTGCACAGCCCCTGTTCATCTGTGGCTGGAGAGGAGTGGTGGACAGGCTTTAGTGGAGGATTTTGGGGGTGCAAGGCTGCAATGGTCCTGCTGTGATAACCGGAGCTTCCAGGAGCCCAGGAGGACCATGAGCTCCACCTCCAGCTGGAGGCATCCTTCACCCTGCAGCAGCAGCACCTCCAGACCCAGCTGGGAGGGGGTGTCTGGGAGGGGGAGCAGGAGAAGGGGGCTGGGTGCTCCCACGCTCTCCTCCACGGTGCCCCGGGGAATGTAGCACATCTCCAAGCCTGTCCTGGGCACGAGTCCAGCACGCCGGGCAGAAACCGTCACCCAGGCCATCGGGGAAAGCTTGCCCGAGATTGATGGGACCTGCCATGTTCAGAGGGCCATCTCCAATTACACGGCACTGCCGAACACCTCATCAAAGATGCAAGGCCTCTAACGAGGAGCAGATGACATCTCTTTCCTCCTGGCATTGAGAGGAACGGGGCGGACGGCTTCATCAATAATGCACTCGCCAGCGCGGTTGGGCAGCTCCACGGCTCCGGTTACAGCCGGGGCCCCACCAACCTCCTGATACTGGACCCTGCACCCGAGAGCATCGTGCCAGGGCAGGAGCATCCCTTTGCTTGCTCTGCAGGAACATGAGGTGAGGGGACAGGGCTGGACTTGGGGTACCCAGGCACCAGAGCCTGGACCACCAGGCAGCTCTGTTTGAAGGCAGAGGGTCCTTCTACCCCCGCTGCCCTCCTGCCTTTGCACGTGCTGCATCCCGGCAGCGGGGCTGGTGGCTCTGCCTGGGCTGTCCTGAAGCAAGGACATGCCCTGTACCATTGTGTGCAGAGCGTCCTCCATGGCACACGTGCACATGGCTTTACAGCAGCATGGGGGCACACCCCCGCACACAGAACAGCCTAAAGTCCTCATCCCCAGATGGGCACAGCTCCATGCTCTGGGGGTGGGTGCTGCCCCCCTACCCGACCGCCCGTCTCCCCACAGACTCGTATCTCCTGCAACGACGTCCCTGCTGAGACGCTCTATGATGTGCTGCACGACACCCGCTACCGCAAGAAATGGGACTCGAACATGATTGAAACCTACGACATCGGGCGCCTGACCGTTAATGCTGACGTGGGATACTACTCCTGTGAGCAGCCCCCGGCCTCTGGGGACCCCCAGGGACCTCCTCCCCCACTCCACAGCCCCGTGCGTGGGTGTGGGGCCATGGGGGCAATGGGTTGGGGTGTAACAAGGTCTGTCCGCAGGGAAATGCCCGAGCCCACTGAAGAACCGGGATTTCGTCACCCTGCGCTCCTGGCTGCCCCTGGGCAATGACTACATGATCATCAACTACAGCGTCAAGCACCCGGTGAGCCCCTGGCCAGCCCCAGCCCTGGCAGGGATGCTGGCCCCATGGGCCAGCAGGCACAGGCAAGGCTGGGCAGCGGCTTGGGCAGGCTCTGAGATGCACGGCATGTCTCTGCAGAAATACCCACCCCGGAAGGATTTCGTGAGGGCCGTGTCCCTGCAGACAGGTTACCTGATCAAGGCGAACGGTGCCGGTGCCTGCGTCCTCTATTATCTCACCCAGGTGGACCCTCGCGGTGAGTGCCAGCAGGAGGGGAGGGTGCAGCGTGCCTCCGGGGGGTTGGGTCCCATTGTACCCCCAGAACTCACCCACCATGGATCTCCATCACCCTGAGGTCCAAAGGGCACTGGGAAGTGGGGACAACCCAGGGAAGAAGGGGGTTCCCTCCCAGGGCACAGCGTGGGGCAGGTGCTGGCAGCCCTGGGGGACTCAGTCTGGCACTGGGCGCTGCAGGCTCATGGTGCCTCCTCTGGGGCTGGCCCAGATTGGCTCAGTGACGGGGCTTTGGGGTCTTGCAGGGTCGCTGCCAAAGTGGGTGGTGAACCGCGTCTCCCAGTTTGTGGCACCGAAGGTAAGCAGGGTGCGCGGCCGGCGGTGGGATGCACAGGCATCAGGGATGAGCTGTTCCAAAGTAGCCCACTAGATAGGGGCAGGATGGGTGCTGGGTGACCCAGGGCTCGCAGGGCGTGCACTGGGCATACTGCCGGGGCTATGTGGTCCAAGCCAGGCCCCCATTACCTCCCAGGACCCCCAAAAAGCAAGCAATGGGGGAGGTGGGAGCTGTGCCCACAGACGGGGGTGGCTTCATCCCCACTGGGGACTTGGAGCACCGTGACAGGCTGGACCCACTCTGCCCACAGGCAATGAAGAAGATCTACAAGGCTGGGCTGAAGTACCCGGAGTGGAAACGCAAGCATGATCCCGGATACAAGCCCTGGGTGTACCCGGAGCAGAACACGCTGCCCAGTGTCAGCCTGGCCGAGCTCTCAGTGCAGCACGCCGACTCGCTGGAGAACATCGATGAGACGGGGCTGCCTGAGGACCATCTGAGCACCAGTGACCATGAGGCCTGAGCCCTTGCCGCAGGGGGCACGGGTCAGAACTTGGCCCCCTGTGCCCCAATAGGCACGTCTGCTCTCCAACTCCTTCATCATAGACCCCTCTACCCGGGCAGCAGGATACTGTCCCATGGGAACCTGCAGCACAGGTGCTGGAAGGAGGGAGGACGGGGACCCTGGTCGCCCCTCTGCTCATGGTGGCCCATGGAGATGTCCCCACGCAGGAGGTAGAGCTGGCAGTGGGAGTGGGTGCCCCAAGGAAAGGCTGGGCAGGACAAGAGAGGGGGAACCCTTCATGGGGTGGGTAGGAGCTTTCCTGGCACCAGGATATCCCTTTGCCACTGTAAGACCTTCTAGGGGTGTCCCTCAAAGATCCAGAAGTGGGGGGTCTATGGGGGTCCTGCTCAGGCTTTGCAGCAGCACAGGGCTTGGACTGATGCTCTCTGGCTCTGCCAGACGGATCAAGCTGGACCCACTCTGGCCCACCAAGCCCCCCCAGGCTTTGTGTGACCCCCTCATCTCAGGGAGCCCTCCCAGGTCCTCTCCTGGGCATCAGGCTCACCTCTGCGCTAGCCCAGCGGGCTCTGGGGACCCCTTCCCCAGGTGGTGTTTAGGGGGGCTTGTCCTGGCAGTGGGGTCTTGGCCAGACTCTGTCCCCACCCTCTCGGTGTTTGCCGCTGCTGTGGTTTCTGGCACAACAATAAAGGGGTTGGTGTGTGTACAAGAGAGCTTCAGGCTGACACGTGACAGCAAGGAAGCTGGCACCGAGCCCACCCTGAGGCTGTCCAGGCACTAGGTCCTGGGTCGGACAGGAAGGTCAGTCCGGCCGTGCAGTCCCAGCACCCAGGGGTGACCCTCAGCAGAGAGCGAGGTGGCTGGCGGTGGGGCAGGAGACGCGGATGCTGGGCTCCACACACGGGTGCAGGTGAGCGTGCGTGGGCACAGGGCAGCTTCCACTGGACCACGGGAAGTTAGTCTAGACAGACACCGCTGGGGGAATACTCTGACAAATGCTGGATTTTCCATCCACCCGTTCACCCCCACGCTCCGAGGCTGCCTGCATCTGCTTGGCTCCTACCCCAGATGTGTTTAAGCCTGATCTGTGCAAGGCCATTGCTGACGGTGCTGGGTTGCTCAGCTCCAGACCTGTCCCAGCAAGGGACAGGTAAAGGCTAGG